TTTTTATATTAGATATCCGCGTAAGAAAATGGATGCATTAAAATACGATATGTTATTATTAATGGTTATATAAAACAAAAATATCATTAAAAATTTTTTCAGATGCCTAAATATGTTAATTCGTTAGTCAAGTTATCAATAATCGAGTTATTAGACAGAGCACATTACAGTATAAATTTCGTTCTCTACTGCGCAACGGGACAAACTTTTCGCAGAGAAATCATCCGTATGTTTACAAAACGTACGAATCTATGACAAAACAGAAATATTTTGGAGATGTTCAATTATAAATAACAGTATGAATAATGTCCAATTATGCAGTCATAATAAGGTAATACCATAATTGAATGCGACGTTCTATACTGTAAAAAAATCGATTTTAAAAACTTGATGTAAAAATTACATGCTAAACAACAGAAATTTACTAAATACATATTGTAAATTCGCATAATTTTATAAATTTTATACTATTTACTTAGTATACATATTTCCATTATTTATTATAAAATGTTTACGTCAATGTTGTATAAATTTGTCGAATTTTTTGACAGTGTGCATACTTATATTACATTAATCAAATATTTGTTTACTATCTTTGTTATATGATTTTTATAATTAAATGTATAAAAGCAAAAAATAAACCAATTTATTTTCTCTTATTTTGATAATACTTTGCATTTTGTTACAGTTTACAAGTTTACGTCCAATCGCACTTCAAATAAAACATTGTATTTGTTAACAACGCACAACGGAAAATTTCTCAAGAGGAGTTAACTCTCGTAATATACACGAGATATTATAATATACATTATAATTTTGTTAAAATATAATTAATTGCAAGTAGCTAAGTAAGATAGTTTTATATTATTGTATTAAAAGTGTTAAAAGTAAGTCAAATATAACAATTAAAAAATTCTACGATACACATATATGTATGTAGGTAGTATATACAATATTTTAGCGCATCATAAAGAAATGGCCAGTTTTATCAATTTTGTCAATAAATATGAGAAATATAACTTAGAACATGTGTTGATTTACTATTTGAAATCGGTGAATTGTGACATCGTACATCTCAATGTACCCGTGTGGAAAATTAAAGTCAGTGTCCTGTAACTATCTAATTATTTAGAGTTTCAACTCATCACTGTCTAGTTTTATTAGCTAATAGTTAAATAGAATTGTAATGCTTTTACATGTGAGTGATGATGTTGCAGGCATTAACTAATTATTAATTACAAAAAAAGTGTCGTTTCTATGCAGAACTTATAGATAATACCTAGTTAATAATATAATGCTGTTACATCCAAATCATGATACAAAAAGTACATATATGTACTAGCTAATATTATTATCTCACAGCTAGATAAGTGAGGTAAGCTCGTGGCTCGCGAGTAAAAATTATTTTTAAAAAATGTAAAAAGAAATTGGTTTGCTCGAATTCTTACATTTGTATAGGTGAATTTATCGCATTTAACTAACATGATTCTTTTAATTCTATTTCACTGGTATTTTTCTTTGCTGTAAATTTTTTTTTATTAGTTCACATCGATCAATATACATATTATTTTATTCCTTTACCTTTTTAATCGTTGAAAATATTCGTGGTACATCTGTATTCGATTCTGAGATCTTTGCATTACGATTCGTGCACGTTGTTTGCCAAGCCAAGCTCGAATTGATATTATTCGGTAAATTCGTTATATAAAAATTTCTTTTATCAACAAAGTAAAATGACGTGCTATACTTTCTATTTTTTCAATAAGCTTAAGACACCTCCTGTTTTTCTTAATATGTAAACGTGTACCATGTGATTGTTGTATGAACAGTAAAAAGTGTTTATTGTGAGCATTGATAAAAATAATTAATAATTATTTATTAATAAGTACTGTGATTAAAAGCGCAACAATAAATTTAATAAATAAATAAATAAATAAATTTTACCTTTGATACAATCATAATATAGTGATGGTTTTAATGCTTTCTTATTTTCAAATTTTTTTTACACAAGTATACTTCATGGCCAGATCCCGGTGAAAAAATTTTTGTATTACAGCTAATACATTTTTAGATACAGTTGTATTAGCATCTATTAGGTTATCTATAATTATTATTTAAAAAAAAAAATAAAAAATATTTAATGTTTAATAATAAGAAAAAAACTAAAAAATTACAATAATAAATGAGGGAAGTTTGCTAGTCAAGTATAAGATGACAACTAGATAAGTTTTAAATAATTCAACGTCATCTATAACTAAAAATAATTAGATAGCGTATAGAGAGAAATTAGATATATATCACGAGAAACACACTATTTTTTTTTTATTTAAAACTAATGATTGGTAGCCTGTAGCAATCTGATAACTATATAATTTTCGTAGTTAAATACAATGTCATGGTTAACTCTAAATAACTATAAGATATAATCACTGACCAAGCATTTCAAATATGATATGCATCCAAAAATCTAGCAAGTGATACTAACACTACTAGCTAGATATTCATTGTAGCCTAGAATAGCTAATCATTAGCATTTGTCTCAGTTTTGTGAGACAATTTTCCACACGGGTACATGTTTCATAAATTTACTTACTACATATGTGCATATTACTTCTTTATATATTATAATAATACTAAACGCTTTTCTATATATGTATAAGAAACGCTTTTAAACCGGTATTGTAATTTTTATTTATTACATTGTACATATTGCTCCTTTTATGTTCTTAGCATTTTCGAACAATATACTTACAATTACATTCATAATAAAAAATGAATTTGTTTTTGCCATTGCAAATAGTTGACAAAACCAAAAATCAATCATCAATTATTTAGAATGCGCCAATGATATTGTTCCATTATTCAAACCAATTTTAGTACTAAAACTTTCCTAAAATAATATGAGAATATTGCATGCAACCATATAAATTCTAATAAAATTAAACATATAATATTAATTAAAGTGTACAAAATAAACTATTATAATGTTGTAGTTATTCAATATGTAACATATAATAACCACAGTTGCCATGTAATCATAAATATTATACTAATAAAAACTATATTCAATGTAATATCTGTCATAAGAAAAATGAAAAAATTTGTTTTAAATAAATTTTATGTATTATTTTAGTAATTATACTGCTTTTTTTAATGTCATTAAAAATACTTTAGTAGAGCGACAGACAGAAACACACACGTCAACGGATATGAGCAACATTATAATCAAAATGTTAATCATTTTGGTAAACCAAAAACTTCCAGGAAGAAATAATATTATTATCCAAGTCAGTCGTCTCGACATTCAGTCTTTTGCAATCGTTAGTGTTTAGCAGTTGAACAATTGAAATCGGGAAATTGTGGAGAGTTTGTAACCCTTGTATTTGTAACCTTCAGAATTTTTAACGACTCTTAGGTGAGTGAGATAGTGAGTAAGACATTTTATTTTAATGTTTAAAATACTGTATATATTTTGTGTATTTCGTATATTTTACTCTTATAACAATAAAAAAAGTTATTTTAGTAAATGTATTAATAAATAAAATTTATATGCAAAAATCATTGATTTCAATGAATAACATATATAATAATGATATAACTCTTTTTTCAGACGCGTGACGTAACCTGATTAAACCGCTTTTTGATTTTCATTTCATAATCAACTGAATAAACATTCCATAATCGTACGCAGGATGTTTTCTGAAAATAATCTCGGCAAAGATTATTCTAGCATATCTGAACACGAACTAGAATTGCATGTTTGTAACAACGAGAGAGATATTGACGAAAGTTTGCGAAACATGGTCAAAGTATTTATTCATCTCAACTATATATATATGACGTTTAATCCACTTGTGAACATAAGTAGAATTGAAAAGTTCCAAGATTTATGTAACGAAGATATTGTAGGCAGACATTTTCCAATCATTAACGTCATAAAACAATTTTATTTCCTTTCTCACATGCAACATGCAATTGCAGATACTTTGGAGACATATTCAAATTTTAGAAAGTACAGCCTGCCGATTTTTATTTTTCTGGGTCTTTTAGGAAACTGTTTGTCCGCCATTGTGCTCTTCCGTAAAAAGATGCGTTTTTTCTCGTCCAACATTTACTTGGGTGTATTAGCAATAAGCGACATCGCCTTCTCAATAATATTACTCATTGACTGGCTCATCTTAATGGATATAAAACCAAAAGAAAAGTATTTGTACTGGTTAAAGTTCTTTATGGATTTTTGGAGCTTTTTTTCCGAGTTCTTGAGTGTGTGGCTTGTAGTAGCCTTTACCATCGAGCGATATATAGTGACGAAGTATCCGCTTTTACGTCGATCTTGGTGCACTTTCAAACGAGCAAAAATCGTAGTGATAACGCTGATGGGACTAGCAATTTTACGTAGTATTCTACAAATTTTTTTTATTTTTGGGACCATGCATAATAGAGATGCAATGTATTTTAAACAAGATATAAATATCTATGATGTATACAAACATGTAAATTTGGACATTCAGAAAGGAGCTGGTCAGACAAGAAAGATAATGGATTCTATTATAATATTTACTTTACCTGCTCTCGTAATAGTAATCTGCAATACTCTGATAGGACACCACATTTACCAGCAAAATCGTATTCGCAAAATGTTGATTACAGCGTCCAATTCTTCTAATAAGAAAACTCAGATTTCTAATGACAAAATGCTTCAGCATAAGATCACAAGAATGCTTATTCTCGTTTCGAGCATATTTATAATCTTGAAATTACCTACACATTACTTTTTCTACATTTCTCGTTACGTAAGTATCAATAATTCATATTAAAATAATTTCAACCATAATAGATATGTTTTATTTATTTTAAAAATGCATTCCCTATATGACAAAAAAATATTAAATAATTTTTTTTTTTAAATTGGAATTTTTTAAAATAATTTATACTGTTTAATTTTCACATTATGAATTAAATTATACAAGAAATTTTTTATATTAGATAATTGCGTAAAAAGATTGATGCATTGTAATATGATGTTATTATTAACGGTTATATAAAACAAAAATAACATTAATAATTTTTTCAGATAATATATGGCAATATGGTAGTTATGGCCACACTATTTGACTTATTAGACACAGCACATTACAGTATAAATTTTGTTCTCTACTGCGCAACTGGACAAACTTTTCGCAAAGAACTAATCCACATGTTTACAAAACGTAAAAATGTAAGGAAAAACAAAAATGAAGAAAATGTATAATTATAAGTAACTATGTTTGATGGTCAATTATGCAGTCATAATAAGGTAATACCATTATTAAACACGGCGTTCTATACTAAAAATATAATCGATAAATTTACAAAATTAGATGTAAAAATTTAATAATTAAACGAACTTACCGTGAAGTTCGATTATAATTATGCTGTCTCGTCCGGATGGATATAATTGTAGTAGCGTTCCGCTGCGCTATCCTCAACAGGTTTGAAGCCAGATTACAAAAAACGCGCCGCCTGCCTGCACGCAGGCCGCGCCCTACTATTGCCACGGTCATTATTAGTTTAAAGGTAACAAATCTGGCAAAAATGGGATAGAACAAAAAGAAAGGGGGGGAGGGATACTCCATCCGGACGAGACAGCATAATTATAATCGAACTTCACGGTAAGTTTGTTTGATTATTAAATTATGCCAGGTCTCGTCCGGATGGATATAATTGTAGATATTCAAAGCACAGATTTGTTGAAGATTCCGTACGGTACAACATAAAACGTTGTCTATTTGGATTATACATTTGTTTATGTAAGAAAAGAAATGAATCTGAAAATCTATATGTAAAGGTTGTTTTTATAAAAAATCTTAAGTACTATTCAAGACTGTGTCCTGAAAAGTTGCGCCCCTAATCAGCGGGCGATTATAGAAACGGGCAAAGACATTTGAGGAACTGCTCCAGCCAGCAGTACGCCTGATCTCGTCCAAACTAACACCTCTACTAGCAGCGAGAGAAATTGAAGCGTGACGAGTAGAGTGTGTAGAGAAGATCCTAGTATTAATTCCGGCTGAGCCAAGCACCTCCTTAACCCAGCGAGCTAATGTCTGAGCTGCCACCGGTCTATGCGGGGCCCGAAGAGAAATGAAAAGAGGTGAACAGCTTTCGCTGCGCAAAATGGATGTGAATTGTAAATAAAACTTTAATAAAGAGAAAAGACAGAGCTCTGGCTTACTTTGGAAGGGCTTGAACAAGAGCAAGAGCTGATCTCTGCCGATTCCCGAGGTTTTTAAACGTGAAGGAATTCTAATAATTAAAGAATCCGCGAATTAAATATTAGAGATCTGGATGGCTGCGAGCGCCTGCATCCTCTGCGCGGTAGTAAGAGCAAGGAGTGTGATGAGCTTTTTTGACAAGCATTCTAGAGAGAGGTTCTCATGAGGGTATAGGGAGGCCAGATAGTTAAGAACTGGAGTTGGGTCCCATACGTAGTCATAACGGGGGCGTTGAGGCTTCAAAGCCGCAACTCCTCGAAAGAATCTCTTAACGAGAAGGTGAGAACCCACTTCATTCGTCGAAACCAGCGATATAGCAGAACGGTGTGAGTTTAGGGTGGCGTAGGAGCGCACCCCTACAAACTGGGACGATAAAAAGTCCCAGAAGACGGGCCTTGACAGAGTAAAGTAGTTGATGTCCCTTTTCTCTGCAGAAATTCCACCATAGCTTGATAGGTTTCACATATTGGGCTATAGTGGCCTCGGAGAGAGAAGCGAGCATTGTAGCTACTGTTTGGAATGGAGTTTCCCTGTAGACAAAGGCTTGCCGGATAACCTCGCGGCAACCAGGGTAATCCTGTCCCAAGCTGGGTGAAATTTCCTGAAAGGAGATGATAACATGTTAATGTTGGGATTGAAGCAGATAGGGCGACTGACTATAATGCGATTAAATAAGGGGAACCATGGTTGGACTGGCCACCACGGCATGACAACCACCCCCTCCGCTTCGTCGGAGATAATTTTACGTAGAACCTTTGGAATTAGGATAAAAGGGGGGAACGCATAGAAATAAAAGCTACCCCAGTGTAACGAAAAGGCATCGACTGCCTCCGCGAGAGGAGCTGGAAGCCAAGAAATAAATCTAGCGCATTTGCTGTTGATGGATGATGCAAATAAGTTAATATTAAACTGCCCGAAACGATGATTGATTATACTAAAATATCGATGATCTAGAGTCCATTCCGTTCCCTCGGAGACTACCCTAGACTCAGCGTCTGCCTCGCAATTTTGGGCTGAGGGAATATATGCAGCATAAATGAAGATATTCTGGTCTGCGCATCAAATCCAGATTTCCCTAGGTAAATTAGATAAGAGTGGGAATCTTATGGAGCCCATGTGATTAATGTAAGACAGGGCTGTAGAGTTATCTACCCTGAGAAGGACTCTGGAGTTCGAAAGATGAGCGGCGAAACAGCAAAGAGCGTGGAAAACCGCTAGTAGTTCTAGATAATTAATGTGGAATTGCTTCTCTTCTGGTGACCAAAAACCGTGTGAACGCCCATTGCTACAAACAGCGCCCCAACCTGTGAGAGAGGCGTCTGAGAAGATCTCAAGGGCGAAGAGACCTGATCTGATGGGATTCTCTTGAGATTTGTCCGCAAAAATGTCCTTCCACCAGTGGAGATCCTCTCTGATCGATGAAGGGAGAGACATTTGAGCCTCGAAGTCGCCTCCTGTAAATGTAAGAGCCAAAAATTTTATTCTTTCTAAGATTTCTGTGTGTAACATGCCGTACTGGACGGCTGGGCAAACCGAGATCAAAGAGCCTATAAAAATGGCTAAATAGCGAATTTTGCAACTGCTTCTGGCAAGGATATCCAAGGATCTCTGGAATAATTTCTCCCTCCCGTCAAGGAGGATGGAAACTGTAAAAGATGTTATGTTAAAAATAAAACAAGGAAGCGACAAGAACTTGTCGGGGTGGAAACGCTCCTGCGTTCGAGAAATCCTAAAGATAACAACTGTCTTGTTGCCTTGATATTCCTCCGGCACTGATTATGCGATGGCGCTATGAGGAGAAAATCGTCCAGGTAAATCACCGAAGAGAAGCCTTTAACTCTGAGGAAATATGCTACTGGCCTTAGAATCTTAGTACAAATGTAAGGTGCCAAAGCCAGGCTAAAGGGTAGGACACGGAATTGGTATAGATGACCGAGGAAACGAAAACGAAGGAATTTCCTATCGTTCTGGTGTACCGGAACAAGGAGATATGCGTCCTCCAGGTCAATGGAGGCGAGATAATCTCCTGGAGAAATGAGGCGAATAACGGTCTTCCAGTCCTCCATCTTAAAATGCGGTGCACTAATAAACCGATTGAGGTCCTTCGGGTTGAGAATAGACCAACCTCCTGAGAGTTTTTCAATCAAGAAAAATGAGGACAGATATTGACTCTCACAGTCCACGGTCGGCTCTATTGCTCCCTTAGTTAAAAGTCTGGCAATCTCCTGGGAACAGCGCTGCTCCTCGAAGCAGGATAAGAAAACTGAAGGTTCTCTGGCCTGAGAGGGTGGTTGCTGGATGAGGGGTAGCCCCGAAATGACTTGTAGGATCCTTGGATCCGAAGTAATTATTTCCCATTGGGACCGAAAAAGGGCTAGTCAGCCGCCCACTAGTACCTCAGTGTTAACTAGTGTCTCCTCGACCTCGAGTAGGACCTGGGATAGTAGTGACGGCGATTTGTGTTCGCCCCTGGCCTCCTGGATGCCGTCCTCGGGCGGGGGGCAGGGGCTCGGGCATTTCCCGAACTAGATGCAGTCGTGCGTACTAGCTGAGAGATCGGCTGCTGAAGTTGTCTGGATATCTGTACCGGGATTCTGATAATCTCCTTAGACGATTTCTGCATTGCTGCTACCTTCTTTATTCGGTCTCCAAAGGAGGTCCCGAAGAGAAGCTCATCCGAAGGGATAGCATTTGCAGTGTCCTTGGCTGCAAGATTGAGTGCGGGCATGATTTCTGCCCGTCTAAATTTGGAAAGCTGATGGAAAAGGTCATTAACCTTAGTCACTGCTGAATCTGCCTCCGACGTGAGAAATGATTGAGTGGCCGGGCAGAGAAAATCCGAAATAGCCTCGCCAAGGGCGCAAAGGGCCTTGCCAAGTTGATCCTGATTTTTGCAGGCAAAATCATCCCTCTTGATAACAAAGTTTCCCTTGAGAGCCACTCGACATTCTTGGTTTAATGCCGGGGCTTTGAGAAAAGCCGCTGTGTCCGGCGGAGAGTATTTTTTTAAAAGTCGATCACGTTGATCTCTGACAAGGCCAGAACGCGTGAGATCCTGCCACGTCTGGGTTACTATTTCGTCCCAGAAAGAGACTTTCTCAATGTCTCGCTCTCCAAACAATTGTTTGGCCAGAGAAAACGGCGGTGACCTCGCCGGAGACAGAGATATCCAGGAGAGAGCTAGCCTGAAGCAAACTTTGCTCAGGGCCTGGAGGAGGCAAGTCATCCTCGCCTGCATTAGATGTACGAAGTTGATGAGACTGTCTGTGAAAGCAGGTTGTGTCGTCATGCCGCCTGTATTTCGCAAATACAGATCCAGCAGTATTCATACACACCTGATGGGTCCGCTGGCACGAGAGGTGCCTCGAGACTGACCTCCGAGTCGGATCTCGAATGAATGCGTGACCCTTGACTCGTCTGCGGAGAAGCAGAGAGAACAGACAGTTGCGGGGAGGGGCGACGGGGCGCCATAACCTCACTCTGTGAGAGGATGTCAATTGTGACATCTTTTCCTCTAAACCCGCAATCCTATCTGTCGACGGTGATCTCCTTCTCCTTCTGGCTGTGTGAGACGTCTTTTCCATTCCTGAAAAGACAAGAATTCACAGTATTGAGAAATGAGAAAAAAGCACGAGTTGAGGAGTCGCATTACAGGAAAACAATGATGGCCGTGGCGATAGTAGGGCGCGGCCTACGTGCAGGCAGGCGGCGCGTTTTTTGAATCTGGCTTCAAAACCTGTTGAGGATAGCGCAGCGGAACGCTACTACAATTATATCCATCCGGACGAGATCTGGCATAATTACATAATAAATAACAGAAATTTACTAAATATATTGCAAATTTACATAATTTCATACATTTTATACTAGTATATTTCCATTCAGCGGCGCACTAAGGATTATTTTTTTCGAGGGGGGGGGGGGTTTAAAATTTACACACACAAAATAAAACAATATGACCAAAAGTCAGGATAATTTTATATTGCAGACTAAAAAATATAAAAATGTTACATTGTTTAATAAAAAATAAATTTTATTTTTATAGTAGCATAATTATAAATTAATATCAAGTTTTTTTGCTTTTCTATAAATAATCAGATTAACTGGATTGCTTAAATAATTAGAAAATTTGTCTATATATATGGCTGCTAGATGTTTCTTAAGTAACTTATTTAAATCCTTCCACAATATGAATATCTTAAAGTACAATAGATATTATAGGTATACGTTCGAACAGCAGTATAATTGAAGAAGCTATCATAATAAATTGTGTGCAAGAATATTGATGTGAATTTTGAATTATTAAAATTGTGATTATAATTAATAACAGACAAAAAATACAAATATTTGAACGCATTTTATTTAACTACAGATTTTTTACTTTTTGCTGTTAAGTTAATAAAAAAATAAAGTATATTAATTAAATTTTGGGGAGTTTTAACCTCCCCCCCCCCACCCATGAGTGGGCCACTGTTTTCATTATTTATCGTGTAATTTTTACATCTTTGTTGTGTAAATTTTCCGACTTTTGTCAGTGTGCATACTTATATTACATTAATAAAATTCTTTTACTATAATTGTTATATGAGTTTAATAATTAATTGAATAAAAGGAAAAATAAGCCAATTTTTTCTCAACTTGATAATACTTTGCATTTTGTTACAGCTTGCAAGTTTACGTCCAATCGCACTTCAAACAAAACAATGTGTTTGTTAACAACGCACAAATGATTGTTTCTTAAAAGAAGCTAACACTCCTGATTGATACACGATAAATTATATTATACATTATAACTTCATATAAATATAGTTAACTGCAAATAGCTAAATAAGATAGTTAAATAAATTATTGTATTAAAAGCGTTAAAAGTCATAAATAAATTTAAAAATATTTGATACACATATATGTAGGTAGTATGTATAATACAATGTTTCAGCGCACCATAAAGAAAAGGACAGTTTTATCAATTCTCTTAATGAATGTGAGCTTTACTTGGAAGATGAGCTATAACTTAGAAAAAGTGTTGATTTACTATTAAATAGGTGAACTGTCGCATCGTAGATTGTAATGCCAATTCATTTTGTCATAATCAATGTTGCGTAAATTACACGTTTATTCATTACAAGAATATTTTTTAATGAAGAAAAAGAACATTCTAAAAATGTGTTATGTTTTATTTACATGTTATCATATCACAAATCTATACCAATGTATTGATATACAAGTACATGTCTCATCATATTACTACACATGTGCATATTATTTTATTCTATATAAAAAACGCTTTTTAACATGTTTTATAATTTTAAAAATACAAATAATATTAAGATATTGCTCTTCTTTATTAAACAATAATCGTGAAAACAACGAGCTAAGCTAGAGCAGAAACTGGTTAGAATCACTCAAAAGTTTATTTTATTGAAAAATTATAACAACAAATGTTTCGGCCTAAAAAATGTGGCCATTTTCGGTGTAAAAAATTTGACATAAATAATACAGTCGTAAGTAGACTAAACGTTGATAAGCTAATTAAGCTAAAAACGCTCTCGAACAATGATTGTAATTTTGTTAAAATATCCTGTTAATGTGAAACGACATAAGAATAAAGAGTTTGGTGCACTGTCAAACGAGCAAAAATCGTAGTAATCACGCTGATAGGACTAGCAATTTTGCTCAGCATTTTTTCTATTTGGACCTCGCATTATAGAAATGAAATATTAAAAACAGATGGCTATGCTTCATACAAAAATCAAAAATTGGACATACAGAAAGGCACTACACTTAAAAGGATGATTATGAATTTTATTATAATATTTACTTTATCTGCTCTCGTGATAGTAATCTACAATTCTCTGATAGGATATCGCATTTACCAGCAAAATCGTTTTCGCAAAATGTTGATTACAGCGTCCGATTCTTCTAATGAGAGAACTCAGATTTCTAATGACAAAATGCTTCAGTATAAGATCACAAGAATGATAATTCTCGTTTCGAGCATATTTGTAATCTTAAAATTACCTGCGCATTACTTTTTCTACATTTCTCGTTACGTACGCGTATCAATAATTCATACTAAAATAATACCGACTACAATATACAGTTTATTTACTCTAAAAATGTATTCTGTACATGACAAAAAATTATTAATTAATTTTTCTTTTAAAGTTGAATCTTTTTAAATAATTTGTACTGTTTAATTTTTACATTATGAATAAAATTATACAATAATTTTTTTATATTAAATATCCGCGTAAAAAAATAGATACATAGTAATATGATATGTTATTATTATTGGCTATATAAAACAAAAATAACAATAAAAATTTTTTCAGATATTTAAACATGACAATGTGTTTTTTATTAACGAAATATTTGACTTATTGGACA